CTAGAATTCTTCTTATTGATTGTCACACTGAATCTATCATTTTTCTTTCCAGAGATTTGGTTGGCGTTGGAGGGTGAAAGAAAATGAATTCCTTTCCTGATGTACCTGCGGAGAACCTCACCAGGACACTCAATCTGTCTGAGACTTTGTCTGAGGCCATGGCGCCTGGACTGAATTCCACCAACAGCCCCCCTTCGATGTCAGTAACAAGGCTTTTTCCCGCCTTGCTCGAGTGCTTTGGCATAGTCCTTTGCGGCTACATAGCAGGAAGGGCCCATGTCATAACGTCCACACAGGCCAAAGGACTAGGAAATTTTGTCTCCAGATTTGCACTTCCGGCTTTATTATTCAAAAACATGGTTGTACTAAAGTTCTCCAATGTGGACTGGTCTTTCCTATACAGCATCCTGATTGCCAAAGCATCTGTATTTTTCATTGTGTGTGTTTTGACCTTACTGGTTGCCAGTCCTGATAGTCGATTTAGGAAAGCCGGGCTTTTCCCTATTTTCGCTACACAAAGTAATGACTTTGCATTGGGATATCCCATAGGTAAGTTATTTTCTACTTCTTTTTTTTCAAGTTCTTAGAACTTTTTGGTCTTTTAGGAGGGAGCACAATTTAAGCCTTCCATTTACTTAAGATTTAGTCGGTGACTTATTCAGACCCTTCTGTAGCTAATAAGTCTTACGTATTTTTTTTCCTAGGTATGTCTAAATTGGGATGCACTACATTTTTCTAAAATGTCAGGGTCTGCAGAGTCTTCCAACCTAATCCCCACTTAAACATCACTTTCATTGAGTCAATTGTGACTCACAGCGATGCTACGGGACAGAGTAGCACTGCCTCTGTGGGTTTCTAAGACTGTAAGCCTTTACTGGAGCAGGCAGCCTCTTCTTTCTCCCACCGAGAATTCGATGGATTCCAACTGCTGCCTTGTGGCTAGCAGCTCAGTGTGTAGCCTCCCCCACCCCCAGAGAGCCTCCAAACACACGATAGCTATCATAAATGATCATACCCTTAAAACCATGCGAGTAGTTTTTCTAGTAGCATTCTTTTTTGCATTTGTCCTATATGAAAACCAAAGACCAAACTTACTGCCATCAAGTTGATTCCATCTCATAGTGACCTTATAGGTCAGGGTAGAACTGCCCTGTGAGTTTCCGAGACTAAATCTTCACTCAACTAGAAAGCTCCATCTTTCTCACTCAGAGCTGCTGCTGGTTTTGAACTGCTGACTTTGGAGTTGGCAGCCCAACACCTAACCACTACACCACTGGGGCACGTGCCACATATGACCAAAGTTTAATTTCCAGAAGAGATCAGATTCTGATTCAAATTGTATAGAGAAGATAAGCATGCAAGTTCCCCCTGCTATCTGACCATAGACCATTCCTATGGAACCTTTCATAAGCCAATATGGCGAGAGTACAGCAAAGAGCCATTTCCCATTGATTTACATGGGTTTGTTTGTTTTTTAGCATTCCCACACCCCAAAATTACCCTAGCAAGTCATTCCAAAGAGCCTGTAAAAGAACACTGACACACAGTGTTCACAGAGTTCAGAGCTATGTCTGCTTCTTGCTGAGGTGCCGGGTGGTGTTCCCTGGGGCATGGGCTACCTCTTTAACTGCTTGCTGAAAAACAAATGCCAAACAATAGTTTGCCTTTTTTTCTAAAAGTGAAAAAGCAGTCATGAAAATAGGTACTAATGAAGGTCTCAGCTGAAAGCGGAGTGGTGATGTAAAGCAACCTTCTGAAAAGCATGACGTTACCTGTATGCCTGTATACAAACAACGAGAAAAGAAAACAATAAGCCCCTGCTCTTGTGTCCATTCTGACTCTTGGTGACCTCACGTGTTTCAAAGGAGAACTGTACTCTGTAGGTTTTTCAATGCCAAGAATCTCACAAAAGCAAATCACCAGGCTTATCTATCGTGGCACCAAGGGGTGGATTTGAACAGCAAGCCTTTCAGTTGGTAGCTGGGAGAAAACCCAGCCCCACCCTGAGACTTTGTAGAAAAACAAGCATTACTGTTGGAACCCTAGAGCCCTGATGGCATGGTGGTTACTCATTCGGCTGCTGACAGCAAGGTTTGCAGTTTGGAACCACCAGCTGCTCCGCAGAAGAAAAAGGAGGCTCTCTGCTCCCATCAAGAGTTACAGTCTCAGAAATGCAGAGGGGCAGTTCTACCCTGTCCTGTAGGGTCACTGCGAGTCACAGTTGACTTGATGGCCGTGAGTTTGGTTTGGGGTTGGAACCCTGGAGACTGGTCATCAGATACCTGTCAGGTCTGGAAATGAACCCCCCCAGAGCCCACTCAGGACTCCAACCTTCAACCAAACATATGAACGATGATAATACTCAGAGCAATAAACCATACAGCAGTGGAAGGGTGGCATTTGTCCAAAAATTGAGCTCAGAAAAACAGAAAGGGCCAGGGAAGGAGGGATGGATACTGGGGACATTAGGAAGGAGTGGGAAGATTATTGGTCCATTGTGGGGATTGCAAACAATGTCACCAAACAAAATGGATGCCAGTTGTTGACTGGAAAACTAATTTGCTCTGAAAGCTTTCACCCAAACCATAATGATAGTTTAAAATAAATACAGCCATTCTTACACATTCAAGAGTACAAGTTGATCAGCTATTTTCCCCTCCCTTATTTTTCTTACTGTCTAGATTAATATGTACATATATGCGTGTATGGATATATATGTAATTATATATGTATAAAACAAACAAAACCCCACTGCTGTTGGGTCCATTCGGTCTCCTAGCATGACTCTGTGGGACCTTAGGACCTTATAGAATGGAAGTCCGCTAGGGTTTCCCGGGCAGTAAAAAGCCTTACCCACTGCACCCCTGGGTGTAGATGTATATACATACTACTTTTGCATGAATATGCATTTTTACTTTATTGTTTTCCAGTTTTTGATGCGTTTGGTTGAACTTAATTTCTTATTTAAGAATGAATAAACTCACTACCATCGAGCCAATGCCAGCTCATACCGACCTTATAGGACAGGGTAGAACTGCGCCGGTGAGTTTGAGACCAAAGCTTTTGTCCGGAATAGAAAGCCTCATCTTTCTCCAACAGAGCAGCTGGTGGTTTCGACCTATGGATCTCCAGGTTAGCAGCCCGAGGTAGAACCACTAAGCCCCCAGGGCTCCTTAAGAACAAGCATGGTGAGCTCTTATTTTTACCCTTATTGACCTTTCCAGGTCAAGCAGCCCAATTTGTTGCTTCTATATACTTATGCTTTCCTGATGAAACAGTAAACATAATTATTTGAGATGTTCACATGTCTCAAAAGGAAACTTCTGTTTTTCAGAATACTCTTTCACTAAAAAAAGTACCCACTCACTCCTTTTTTTATATTTTAAAATTAAAGCTTGTTTTACTTTGATAATCTCGTGATGTAAGGACCTGAATGTAATGGAGCTAGTCATTCATTCCCTCAATGGGATCTGTCAGGGGCCAGTGACTGTGCCACCTGCTAGGTGTTCAGCCGGCGACAATATCCTTACACATAATGGAACTTACATTTTAATGGGGAAAGAAATGATAGAGCAAAACTGAATATATCAGCAAGGTCCATGAAAAGATAAAGGCAGTGATGTAGTGGGGCAGGAAGGAGGGGTGCTAGTTGAGATTAAGGTGGTCAGTGAAGGCCTCTCGGTGACATCGTTTCTGATCAGACTTGAATGGAACTTACTGGCACAAACAATTGAAAGCTACCATTAATTCTCAGTTTTCTCATCCAGTAGTTGTAATCCCTTGCCTTAGTTTTCCAGTCAACAACCGGCATCTATTTTGTTTGGTGACATTGTTTGCAATCCCCAGGAGCCCTGGTGGCATAGTGAGCTACCTACGTGTTGCACTACTTACAGCAAGGCCAGCATTTAGAAAATGCCGGCAGTCTGCGGGAGCAAGAGGAGGCTGTCTACTCCTGCAAAGAGTTTCCATCTGGGAAACTCACAGGAGCCGTTCTTCCCTGCCCTATGGGGTCGCCGTGAGTCGGAATTGACTTGGTGGTTGTGACTTTGGGGGTTGGCGTATCTCGCCAACTGATTTCACAGTGGCGTGAGAAAGAACATTCCAGTGGACTGTTTTTCATCTCCATTGACCCTCCCCCATCACACCTACCAGAAAGAGAGCAACACCAGAAAAATAACTAGGAATAAAAGTGGAGGTGTGAGAAAGAGGAAGTGGGACTTTCTGATTACTTAGTTACAAATAGAAGCTAGGCATGTGCTCCTGTCGGGTTATTGAATTTTAAAATAAAGAACAGACCATGCATTCTAATAGAGACTTGAGAAACAAAAAATCAAAGCAAGGAGTTCATGGGTTTACTTATCAGGGAAAGAGCGTGAATAATGCAGATTCATCAAGGAACTTTTATTTTAAGGACCTGGGAAGTGGTATAATACCGTCATGTTGAGTATTTGCTAAGTAAAGTACTTACTAATCTTTGAGTTTGGACATAAACTATCTGTATCTAGTTTCATGCTAGCATTGGTTAGAAAGTTTATAACTAAATCGAACTGACATTTGTAACTTTATAGGATACAGAATACTTTCTTACTTACTTAGCTCATTGAAGTAGGGCAGATACGAATATCCTCATTTTCAAACAAAGGAAACAGGCTTATAGGGATTTAATTATCTTACCCCGGGTCACATGACCAACAGGTGACAGAGAAAGGGACCCAAACTTAGGTCTTACAGTTCCAAATCCCGGGCATTACCTTCTACCACACAATTATATAACCAACCCATTGACGTAGTCTTCAGGAGACCCAGCCCAACCTTGTCATACACTCGTTTCAGAGAGAATCAACGTTGTCTTGCTTTGGTTTGCCTCTGCATGATTCTAAGAAAAGAATACCATAAAATGAGCAACAGTGGGAAAAGGCCGTTAATCCATTTCTCTACTAACGCAAAGTTCTAAATGAAATAGACGCTCAGCCCTTTCTCTTCGTAACCTCCTTTCTTACATCTCACGTAGTGAATCTGGTCATGTGTCCCCACCAATGTGCTCTTGGTGTCCCGGTGATGCTGTTGGTTAAGCATTGGACTGCTAAGCATTGGTCAGGGGTTCAAACCCACCAGCTGCTCCGAGGGTGAAAGAGGAGGCTATCTGCTCCGGTGAGACTCACAGCCTCAGAGACCCTGTAAGGGGTCCCTGTGAGCCGAAGTCAACTCCCTGGCAGTGAGAACGCAGTGCACGTACCCAATTTCCACTATGTGCATGTGTCTAGATTTTGAGTTGTAATGATTTTTATTTTGTTGTTGTTGGTTCATGAGTGACAGCTTTTGCAATATTGAATTGTAGACACTATCTTTATCAAAAAAACAATCGTCTAGGATGGAGTGCTTTCATTCCCTTCCTGCAGATTGGCAGGTATGGTAGAGAAGTTTTGGGTCCCTACGTCTGCTGCCTGATGAGGTCATTCATTGCTGCTTGCACCACCCGCCTCCTGCCTCTCAGGGTAGAGAGAGATGACGGCGTCCACAGTGAAGCCCTTTCTTCTCTGTGCGGCCCT